TAAAGCGCTAACTTTGTGTGTCGGTTTGTGTGTGTGTATGTATGTATGTGTGTCCGTCCGCAAAATGAAGTGAGTGAGAAGGAAGCTCATGGGATAAACAAACCGCTAACAAATCGGGTAGCTTACAGGATTTGAGATATCAATGTTTTGTAGCAGGATAGTTGTGATAACACTCTTAGGGCTATATAAACACCTGCTTAGCACACTTCCGTTCATTCCACATGGTGCTGCAGTGGCAGCTGGAGGGCAGTGGAGAGAGGAAGGGAGGATGAGGAAGGGAAGCGAAAAATCTACCGTCATATCATGATTGTGTCCCTTCTACTGTTTGAAACACCATTGTGTTGCATACGCGTCACTTCCACGAGGTGTTGGTGTCACAGGAGGAAGGGACCATAGCGGAGGATAGAAAGCTTGCGCAGGAAAGGAAGGTCCCGGCGGTTGACGGGGGACTAATCTGGTATATATTATTGTGGTCACAATTCAGGCAGGCGCTGCAACTTTCGGTCCGCTGCTGTCATCGGCGTCTCTGCCTTCTCTCCGCGGACAGGCCTCCTATCGGGCTGCTCGACCTGCATCTTGTCGTATCTCCATAATGAGTGAATGATTCAAATCAACTAGACCAAGTTCATAGTTTGCGACTTGGGAGATTAGAAGAGCCGGCTATAGGATTTCAAAAGAGTAGTGGAGTAGGATATTGCGCTGAAAAGATTAGATTTTCGATTGAATCGACGGAGAGGACTAGATTAGGCGCCTTCGAGCGAACCGATCATAGCGTTATCTTCCTCTTGCAGCCGTCTTCTCAATCAGGATAATACTATCCTATCTGGCCTCGTTACTACCGGGTGCGGGACTTTTGGTGCGTCCGGGGTTGCACGCGGCGAATCGCGCGGCGGGCTGCGCGGCGATCCGGACGAGGCAAGTCTTCGCGGGCTTCTGCGGTGGAATTCAACACGTCAGAACGTGTGCAGATCGCGGATAGAATCCACAATGTTCTGCTTGAAAGGAACTTCCACTCGCGGAGATCGGTGAATGCAGCGTGGTCAGTTAGTATGGCGGGAGTAGGGGCGAAGCTTTACAGCGAAAGGAACTATTATCATATTATAAATATGAATAAGAAGCACTAAAAATGGAGCATTTAGTGAGATGTTATTTATTGTCAACTCAATATCTTTGCTAATCGCGGCGCGCTCTGTGTCCTTGTGGGAGAGGAACTTTCAAAACAAAGGCAATGGTAGGGGACACTAGATACTAAGCTCAGAAGGGAAATACGCCCGGGACCAGAAATCGTCACTTCCTCACAAAATGTCGCTTAAGCTTAGTCCCAGAAATAATAATTTTGGTCGATAATCTTCATGGATTTTTTTTTTTTTTTTTTTTCCCCCCCCCACTTACATGAGCGCCAACAACTGAAGTCTGATCGCCTATTAAAACGTTTGCTATTCCTTTTTTTCTCTTCTTGCCGCTGCCTTCGAGAGGTGTGTCAATCGATTCGAATCGCAACCTTGGGCTTTCTATCCGCGGTGCCACGTTGCTGAGCGGGTGGAGTTGCACAGTGTAGGAGGCCGCGCGACTTTTTGCCTCGTCCGGATGCGCGAGCCGCGCGGCGATTGGCGCGTGCAACCCGGACGCACAAAGTCCGTCGTGGCCCTCTATTTACTATCGTATAGGTGATAGTACTTCTCGGCGATCCCAATCATAGACTCTAACTGCAGCGCGACTACCGCTTCTCCTTACTTATCGCTATTATTATCCTATTTGTATCTAGTCAGTGCGAATTTTTTGATTATTCCGCGTACTGCCCTAATTCGAAGTCGAACTATGGAACGCGGGCCTTATCGCGCTAGTTGTTTCAGCCTGTTTGCAAGCGCAAACGTGCGGTCGCCGCCCGTGAGCGGTATGGGCAAAACCTGGACCGCCACGAACCAAATTGGTCCATTTCTCGTTTCGCAGTCATTTATCGTACCGGGGGTCATTTGGGACGCAGTCGGTGCACTTGTACCAACACTGGATGGATCTTCTGAAATACAGTCTGTTGTCACCTTTTCTTTTATTAAACTCTTCTGTTAATTGTCTATTCGGTTCTTGAGGACCATGTATGTTCTTATTTGGTCATCTTCCCGTGCTCATGGCCCGGAAAACTTCGTTTCTTATGAGAAGAGCATATAACACGATAATATTGAAAGCGGGTCCATCGAACTACAGAGCTTTTTTCAATAAGCACAAAATCATCTCTATTGAGAAATCCATATCATTTAGCGGTGGGCTACGTTTCCAAGCCTAACAAGCTAATCACATGAGAAAGAGGTCCACAAAACGTTGACGACAGCGTGATGCGCATGCGCTTCGCACACTGAGGAACGTGTGGGACAGCGCGAAGCGCATGCGCGTCGCACTAAAACGCCTATTTTTTCACGAATGTGCTAATTCTTTTCTGTTTCTATTTACAGGTACTTATAGAAGAACGTATTGATGACTATAGACAACGAAATTCACCGAATGGTCAATATGCTTTATTTTGGTCAAGGTTCTCCGAGTTGTGATATGGGCAGTTAATGAAAAACTGTCAGCGCATGCGGACCGCGCGGAGAGGATGAAAGCGTCAACACGCGTTCTGGCGCACGATGCATGCTTGGCGCGGCGGCCTTCCGATTGATAATCCTAATTTCAATACATTTTTTGCTACTTTTGCACCCTAATGAACTCACCTGGGGCTTACTGCCACTTTCAAACACACTGTATGAACCTAACCATTCTAGGACAGTTGAAAAGCAATGATTCACACGAAAAAGAAAAAGATTCTCGCCAAAAAACACGAGCAAAAGCAACACGGCACGTGGAACACCTGAAAAAAAAATAGAATGTAATGAAACCGAATTTATCGATCGGAAGGCGCCGACTGCGCGCCAAGTACGCATCGTGCGCCAGAGCGCGTGTTGACGCTTTTCACTCTCTCCGCGCGGTCCGCACGGTCCGTACGGTCCGCGCGGACCGCACGAGCGCAAACTATGAAAGCAGCCTAAAGTGGGAGGGAGGACATCAAAACAAGGGCCAATGGTAGGTGGACTAGAACCCAGCACAGGAGAGAGGAGAAACCCCAGGGAGAACGCAAATTGCTCACATGCTCTCCCTGAATATCTTCCCTCCCCCAGGCTTAGTCCCAAGCACCTCCCCCTCCCAAACGACATGAGCGCCGTGTTTTTTTAATAACATTCATATTAAAATGATAGGATTTTAGGCAGTTCCAAGTATAGGCCAAGTTGCAGATAACCTACGTAACACTTCCCACCAATATGAAAGAAACATAGCTAACCTTTTGCAAGGCGGGTTTATACCTTCCGTCGGTCTTTGACGCGACCGCGCGTGCCCTAGGTGCGGCGTTTGACGGGAAAAACATCAACCACCTAATAGCGGCAGTTCCTAACAACAATTATGAGATATGATAGTATTCCATAGAAACCTAATAGCAGCATGAGAGGCTGGTTTACTCTGAGGGGGCATCGTTGTGCGGGAAGCTCACCACACCCTCCATTCGCCCCTTCCTAGTCCCCCTTGAGACTAATCTTCAAGGGGGCTATAGGAGGGGTATGTGAGCAATTTTCTTTTTTACTGAAGTCATCTTCTCCTAGGCTCATTCCGCAGAGCGATGCCACCCCCTAAGTACACTTGCGCTCAGCATGAGGTCAGAATATATTGTAAATGACAGCTATTACACCAATTTCTTCCACATATATTGATGATCTGCGGTTGATACCGGAGCCACTGGGGCTTTTTTCTGAAGAGGTGGAGGTGGAGGTGGAGGTGGCGACAAGATGTGCGAAGCAGGTGGTGGCGAAGCAGAAGTCGCTGTCACCAGTTGTGCTGCAGGTTGCTCCGGAGTTTGTGAAGCTTCTTCACCCTCACACTCCTGCACAGGCTTCTCTGGTCGAGCTTCGATTCTTTTCTGTGGTGGATCCTGAACAGAACTCGTTTCTGACACATAAGTGGTAGTAGGCAGAATGATGGGTGCCAGTGTTAGGGATGCAGCCGCAGCTGGGTGTCGGCAAGGAGGTCCATGTGCGAAGCCCTCTTTCACCGCGGTGCCGTATAATGGATCTCCTGACCGATACCCAACTCCGCTTACTGAAAATAAGTCACGTTACAGTTACCTTCAGCTTTGACACAGGAAAAACGGATGTGGCCGTTGTAGAGTGGAGAATCGGGTCGCATTTTTTGTATCCACACTTTTCGTAGAAAATCACTTGATCATCAGTGCACAGGTAGGCCTAGAATACACAAAACTAGCAAAGAGAGGACAGCTCACGTAAAACTTGCGACTTCCTGGCAGTGCTCCTCGTACTGCGCAGCAAAGCGATTTCATAGCATCATAGTGAATTTAAAGGAATGCCCCAGGCAGGGCCAACCGTTACGTTGGACCGATATTGGAGCGACGTTGGACCGATGTTCCGCTCTCCGCGCCGGCATTCACTCTCGCCACCCGCGAGCCGTCTGTGTCTCCGTGCGTACGTTCACTCTCGGCATTACTCTCGTCGTCGCGTTGGACTTTGTCCAACGGACGGTTGACCCTGGCCCCAGGATCCTAAT